GATAATGTTATCAGATTTTAAAGAATTTGATAATTACTAACATCTTCTGATCATGAGTATCATATCTTCTCTGTATGAGTGATAACTTCTTGAAGAAGAAGATCACTGATCTTCATTCACAGTGTCTTATAGACTCTGTGAAAAAGTCTTCTCTTATAGATAATTCATTATCTATTTCTTTAGAAGTGATTATTCTCTGATTCTTTCAATGTTGAAAGATCTCTGATGTCAATTGTGAAAAGATTTCACAGATCTCATTTCTAAATGCATCAGTCTCACACTGACTGAGTAAGTCAGGATTAAAATGATTCAGCATTATAATATCTGTGAAAGCTTGTTTCAATTTCACAAACACCTGTGCAGTGTCTTGAGTGAGGATAAACAGTTCTGTTTTTCTGTCTTTCACACTTCTCTTTAACAGATCTGTAAGAGAGACAGTAATCTATGAATATGTATAGATGAATCATCTGTAGAAATTCATAAATTCTAGAATCATCTGCATCTCGCGGTACATTCACAGTGCTAGCCAGTTCTCAATGATGAAGACTCAGCTTCTGTTCATTGAAATGTCATTTATCTCAATAATATAATCTAAGAAATCAATCTCCTGCATGTAGAATGAGCATTTTTCAGTGTTTGTATAGAGTTAATACTGTCTCAAGTGACTCAACACTTCTTGAATATAAGTATCATGTTCTTTCTCTGATTTCAAGAAGATTAAAATGTTGTTCAGATATACTATGTAGAAGATATTGATAAGGCCTCACAGTGCCTTATTTATATAGATCTAAAAGATGACTGAAGTATTATAAAGATTAAAAGATAAAACAAGATATTCAAAATTACTGTACTTGATATGAAAAGCTGTTTTTCAAACATTGTCTTCATTAACTCTGATTCTATAATAGATATTCTATATATCAATCTTTGAGAACATCATTGCTTCAGATAATCAATTGATCATCTTATTAATTAATGATAATAAATAGTAATTCTTAACTGTCATCTTATTGAGGCCTCTGTAGTCTATGCATAGACATAGCCTATCATTCTTCTTGAGCATAAAGAGTATAGGCATCTCTGCTGAACTCTTTGATAAATATATTCAGTTCTTTGATTGTGCTTCTTCAAGATATTTGTACAGAACATTCAACTCCTTTATAGATAAGTTGTAAAGAGGTCTGTACAGCACTGTTGCACTGTCTTCAAGATAAATCTTATATTGCATCTTGATATCAGAAAACTTCACTGCTTCTCTTTCTGAAAAGACATTCTTAAAATCTGTAAAGAGATGTTATATATATTCATCTTCAATGACAGATACTGCTGCTAATCTTGCAGTGAGAATGATAGCTTCTTCATCTGTCTTCAAGTCTCAATCACCTGCTATGCAGTATATCAACTCAATCTTTTTCTCAAGATTCTTCTGATGAAACTCTTCAGATTTCTCTATTACTGTCTCTTCATCAGTGAGACAGTACTGTCACACCTGAGTGACTCAGTTAATGAGAGAATTGTTTTCTCTCAATCATGAGAGATCTAGAATAACATTCTCATCTATGATGTTAACTGTATGAAGAAGCAGACTGCTCTTCTTGAAGATTTCTTCTAAGTCTGTAGTCACACACTTTGCTTAAATTATGTTAAAATAGTGACATTTTATTTCATTGATAAATTTCACATGATCTGATGAATCTATCTTCTTTCAACTCTTCATTGAAGAAAAGGAATAGAATATGAAGTTAATATTCACTCTGAAGTTAAGTAGGCATCTCACTAATATCTTCTCATTCAGAGTATGCATTGTGATTGTAACATGAACTTGAAGACATGAGAATTATCAATTCTTCATTTCTTTCTCTTCATTATCTTCCGCGGATACATTTGTCAGAAGAGAAGTCAACTTTGAGAAGATATCTCCTCAGTTTCTTCCCTTCTTTAGCTTCTTGCAATTACTGACATAGTGTTCATCAGCTCTGCAGTTAAAACAGAGATCTTTATCAAATCTTTTTTAATATTTCTTCACAGTGAGTGAAGAATCAGAATACTTGAAATTCTTCTTTACTTTCTTCACACTGAAGCTGTCACAGTGCTGTTTAGATCTTATTATTGATTACTTAGAAGAGGTCTTATTAGTCTTTTTCTTAAAGAATTGATTATTCAAATAGATTCAGAAAGTCAGATTGACAAGCTCAGTATGATTAATTGATAGACTCTAATATTGTGATATCATTGTTCACATCTTGTGAGTCAGCTTTGTAAGATAAAGCTGTGTTTTTAATTGATTCAAATCATCAGTCAATTTCTCTCAATATTCTTCAAATCTTGTATTGAAATTAAAAGGATTTTCATTATCTTATTGATGTAATGAGTTGAACTGCTGCACTGCTGTGAAGCTGTAATTGCAGTGATCTTCAATTTGATTCAGTAGAAAGTTCTTGAATTCTTTCTAAGTTATAACAGCATTGATATACTCAAGCTCTCTCTTCTTAATGATCTAAGTAGTCACAGAGATGCTCTCAAGAAGATTAGCAGTGTATATTACTCATATCTTGTGAGTATTATACTGACTTGAATTAAGGCGGAATTTTCATTCAAGAGTACAGATAAAGCTGTGAAATTCAGACAAGATGTTTCTCTTATATCTCAGTGAATCTCTGATCTTAATCTCTCTATCTTCATGATAGATGTAGGTGTGTAGAGGCTGTGACAGTAACAGAGCGGTTGAAGGGCTCATGTCAAAATGTGCAGTGAGTTCAGAAATCTCGGATTTCTGCTGAGATAGAGGTGTACACACTCTAGGAAATGATGTAGTATTTTCTTCAGAGAGTGAAGTTAAGTTGGTCTTAGTGCAGATGTATGAGGCTATATCAGTCTGTTAGAGCTTGACTGATTCAAATGTGTAATCAGATTGAGTGATTTGAATTGTAATATAGTGAAACTGAAGCAGTGGCTAGTCAGCAGTGTTATATAGAGATAGTTGTTTTAAGAAGCTGTATGAGTGAGCTTGACTATCTTGCTTAAATAGTGAGCTTGTAGGCTACAGGGTTATTGTGAGAACATCACAGATATGATACTTAGTATACTAAGAAGATTTGTATGAGACATGCAGTAACTCTTGTGTATATTTCAGTAGCAGTAAAAGAAAACAAATTGCTGGCTTCTTTGATGAGAAGCCAGCATCTAGCTATTCTATATAGACAATGAGCAGATACTCTTCTCTCATTTCATGAGTGAGAATAGCTGAAGTGATACCTCAGCGGCGCCTCACTGCCAAGGAAAAGTAATCTGCTGACCTTGTATAGAAGTGAGGTTCTCATATCCATCAATCAGATCTTTCTATGATATATCTGAATGATGTCATAGAGCAGTTGGAAACCGGTTCAGACAGCCTGCGGGATGAATAGAATCATCCGCATGAAAGCAATGAGCCGTGTGGAACCGCAGCAGGGCCTTGGCGCGGCCGGGAGCGTGACAATAAGTTAAAATTACTCACAGAATTGAAATCAATTCATTCTGTTTTTCACATTTTCTATTTAAAGCTCTATAAGTAACACTCTGAGATGAAGTCATCTCAGTCAGATAATATCAAGATTGAGAGTGATATTAAATATCTTATGAAGAAAATATTGAATAAGTGAATATATTACAGCAAGCTTCAATATCTCATTAAATGAGAAGATTATTCATTATCAGAGAATTCATGAAAACTACTTAAGCATTTGAAAAATGCTGAGAAAGAGATTATAATATATGAGACAGCTAGTAGAGACTGCTCTGTTACATACTAGAGACATTAAGTAAGAAATACTGCTTAAGACTTCTTATTTTTCTTAAAGAATTTTTTAGAGATAATCTCATGATAATGAGCTAGTATCTTATAAGCTCTGTAGCACTCTTCTTCTATTTTCTCTTAAAGAGTTTTTAGAAGTTTAATAAGACTATACAAGTATAAAATTTCTGAAGCAGTTAATAAGAAAAGAAAGAAATATTTGAAATTAATAAAAAGATTAATATTAATCAACTCACAGACTGCTGCTAATCTAATAAGATTACAGCTCACTGAAAAAGTAAAAAGAGAGAATCTCAGAGTCTACTTATTAATAATCATATTTTCATTAAACTTATTCTTCATCATTGAAGTCTCTGACACTGATATCTTTATCTGCTGAGAAGTTAGTACTGCAGTACTACAGAGAAGCATACTGTAGAAGAGTATAAGAGATGCTTAAAGTATTAACTTATTAATTTACAAAGTATCTCAGTTATCTGCTTTAATTAAAATAAGATTCTCTTCAATCAGTGATTAATCTTTATAATACTTTTAACAGTAATATCAGCTGACTTCTTATTAAGATCAGTTATTCTGAGATATTTTTTCATCTCAGAGACTCATGCTTTTATCTTCTTTTACAGATAAGTAAGAAGAATCTTCTCAGTCTTGACAGTATTTATCAATACTTAAAGCTTCAAGATTCTCACTCTGTACTACTTAAGTATCTAGATTTCTTATCAGAGCTGACACAATGTCTTTCTGTGAGATAATACTTATAGAGAGATAGAAGTTGTTGTTACAGATATAACAGAAATAATAGAAGTAAGAGAAGAAATGAGTATATAAAATTCTTCTCTTCTTCAGCTGTTTAATATAGTATAGATAAGTAGCAGTACTGATCAGAAGTCACACTGAAGCCTTCTCACAGAGAGAAGATGAAGAAATCACAGAACTCTGCAGACTTAATTCAGCAGTATTCTGAGCAGGGCTCAGATATGCTGTGAAAGAGAAACTACAGATTGAGCTTCTTGAAGTCACTGTTCTCAGAATCAAGCTCTCTTCAAGTTCCTCTCTGAATGATCACACAGGGTCATATACTACTGTATTGACTGAGAGAAGAGGTGGTGTCATAACAGCAGTGAGAAGAGCAGGAGATGAACTGGACACAGACACACCAGCTGGCAGAAGAGATAACATCTCACTGCAAGGCACAGCAACTACTACCATGGCTGCAAGAGAAGTAGAAGAAGATGTGACAATGAGAGCAGTGCTCTCACAGCTCATTGACACTGCCATCTTCAATCTGGCTTTCTTGACAGTCACGGAGGCCGCAGCCGCATCACAAAGACATTTATTACTCACTAGAAAACATCAGAATAAGCCTCTTATTATCTCTCAAGAATGATGCTCTCATGCACTCACTATTACAGATGAGAGAGAGAAAGAAAAATATATCACAGAAAAAGAAATCTTTTTAAAAAAATTCTATTACTACTGTTAGCTTTGCTTCTAAAATATATTACTTTTGCAGAGAATTTTATATATAGAATGAAATATATTGAAAGATTTATAAGCTACTTATTAATTATATTTTTTACATTTTAAATTGATATATAAGAAACTCATTTATCATGTATTTAATTTGAATGAAGATAAGAAAAGAAAGATCTATATAGTCAGCAGAAAAACTCATCTATTTCTTTATATTATACACAGTATATATACTATCAATTGATTGATAACTATTGTTATATAACAAAGATAATTTCTAATTCAGTAATCTTAAGAGTATAGAGACTATACTTTTAAAGAGAAGAGTATTATTATACTCTCAGTTATATCAAGATTCTGCTGCAGTTTCACACAGTCTATCACTTTTATATGAATAATTTCATTCTATTCAAACCAGTTTTTAATCACTCTATAATATTATTCAGATATATTATAGAAAGATCTGATTGATAAATATAAGAATCTTACTTCTATATAAGATCAGTAGATTACTCTTTCTTAATAATGAGATACTGCTGAGATATTACTCTGACTATTCTTACTCATAAAATGAGAGAAGAGTATCTGCTTATTATCTATATAGAATAGCTAGATACTGACTTCTTATTAAAGAGATCAGTGATTTGTCTTTTTCTTCTATAGAAATATATACAAGAGTTACTGCATATCTTATACAATCTTCTTAGTATACTAAGTATCATATCTGTGATATTCTTACAATAACTCAGTAGTCTATGAGCTCACTATTTAAGCAAGATAGTCAAGCTCACTTATACAGCTTCTCAAACAACTATCTCTATGTAACGCCGCCGACTAGTCACCGCTTCGGTTCAGCACGTTACAACTGTTTTAATATAATTCAAGTGAAGTATGTAATTACAGACTCAGAAGAAATCTTTCAGAAGAGCAGTCTACTTCTTCACACAGTTAATATTATAGATGAGAATGTCATTCTAGATCTTCTGTAATTGAGAGAAAACAATTCTCTCATTAGCTGAGTTACTCAGATGTGATGATATTATCTCACTGATGAAGAGACAGTGATAGAGAAATCTGAAGAGTTTCATTAAAAGAATCTTGAGAAAAAGATTGAGTCAATATACTGTGTAACAGATGACTGAGACTTGAGAACAGATGAGAAAGTCATCACTCTCACTGCAAGATTAGCAGCAGTATCTGTTATTAAAGATGAATGTATATGATGTCTCTTTACAGATTTTAAGAATGTCTTTTTGAAAAGAGAAGCAGTGAAGTTTCCTGATATCAAGATATGATATAAGATTTATCTTGAAGACAGTGCAACAGCACTGTACAGACTTCTTTATAACTTGTTTATAAAGAAATTGAATGTTCTGCACAAATATCTTGAAGAAGCACAATTAAAGAACTGAATATATTCATCAAAGAGTTCAGCAGAAGTGCCTATACTCTTTATACTTAAGAAGAATGATAGACTATGTCTATGTGTAGACTACAGAGATCTCAATAAGATGACAGTTAAGAATCACTATTCATTACTGTTAATTAACAAGATAATCAATCAATTATCTGAAGCAAAGATGTTCTCAAAGATTGATATACAGAATGCCTATCATAGAATCAGAGTTAACAAAGATAATGTTTGAAAAACAGCTTTTCATATCAAGTACAGCAATTTTGAATATCTTGTTTTATCTTTTAATCTTTGTAACACTTCAGTCATCTTTCAGATCTATATAAATAAGGCACTGCAGAGCCTTGTCAACATCTTCTGCATAGTATATCTGAATGACATTCTAATCTTCTTGAAATCAGAGAAAGAACATGATACTCATGTTCTGTAAGAATAAGTGCTCGCAGGCGATTATTCGGGTGTTTGCAGCTTGGCGTGATATGTACTGTTAACTACTAGAAGTATTCACAGTAGAAAGATAAAATGTAGAAGTTAAATGTATAATAGTATTCAAGCTGAGTTGTGAATAGTATTCATGAACTTCAGTCTATATAGTTGTGTATAGTCAAGGGCTGCTAGCTCTATTAATTACATAAGAGATAGAAATAGAGATAAAGAATCTGTAAGAAGTGAGATTTCTTATATATTCTTCTCTCTCTAAGACTTCATCTGTGAAGTCTTTCACTGAGTGACTTCATAGAATCAGCTCAGCACTGCAGTGATACTCACTAAAAATTCTTTACATCTATAAAAAATCTCAGTGAGAAAAAATTCCTTATTACTATGAAGAGAAAAGAGTCTATCACTCAGTTTCTTATTCTATGAGATTCTTTATAATCTATAGATTCTTCTCTGACTATTACACAGATTCATCTCATATCTTTTATATAGAAGAGTTTCAGTTAACTTTTAATCATTTTTATAAGATTCTGATATAATCATTACACAGATTTATCTTACAGATGAATTACTCTCTATAAGATTACTCTTATCAAAGAGAAGTATTTATAAGTTAATCTTTCACTCATTCTCATGAGTTATTATTCTTTAACACTGTAGAATTGTGAGGAATTTTTCATTCTTTTATTAACTCTGTAGAATTGTAGAATTAAGATATTCACAGTCTGCAATCACTCTTTATAGTTATATAGAAAGATTCAGATCTATAATTTATAATCACTCTTATTTACTAGAGTGATCTGACTATTTTATGAGATTACTCACAGTGTAAACAAATCTCTTTAGAGTAGTATAAATTAGACTGGCCGCCGGGATCATGAATTTCACATTTGATCCCATTTGGTCTGATCTCATACATTTCTTGGCGTGAATTCCGCTGGGACTGGCTATCAAAAAAACATGTAAAGTGACTATATATCAGATCTTAAAATGGAACCATGACTTGAAAAAAATGAGAAAGTGATCTCATTTGATCCCATTTAGTCCCATTCTTGGCATAAAGTTACTATTTTTAGACATTTTAAGGTTTTTTTTAGACTATTTTTAATTTTTTAAAAAGTAACGCTTTTTGGTAACACTCAAATGAGATTTAAAGTCATTTAAAGCCATAAAAATAATTTAAATTGAGAAGTGGAAATCATGGTCTCATTTGGAAAATGTGACAAGAGTAGACAGTAAGTCTCACTGAAACAGTATGAGACTACTATCTAATGTTGAAACTGTGTAATGAGATCAGTCGAATTGGTAATGAGACTATTAAAAAATCTGGTCCTGGTTCCAGACACGGTCACACGGTCAGTCTAGTATAAATACTTCAGATCTATTCATAGAATCTTATCTTCTTTTTTTTCTTTTTCTATAACAGCTTTCATTCTCATAAACTGTGAATATTCTTATTTATTCATGAAGTGTTTTCACTCAGATAATAGAGAGAGAGTGTTTCTAACAATATCTGTATATTAATTCAAGAACTTCTCAAGGCCCGGTGGCGTAGTGATTAACTACGCTATCATGGAGCCTCAATTAGCGGCCTTCCCCCCGGGGAATGAATGTCAAGAGAGGGCAGGTTCGAACCCTGCAAGGGTCATCTTAACCACAGCTTCCACTGTTAAGTTATAAAACAGTATCAGAGGCCCTTAGATGCACTATAGTGAATCATCATCAAGCTTAAGATGTTCATCCCAGGGGTTCCTGGGTGCTAATTCTCACTGATCTTAGAATTAACAGCTCTTCAGACACTTCAAGTTAGATCAGTACTAGAGTGATTGAAGTCTAGAATGTCTGCAGAATAGTGAATCATCATCAAGCTTAACTGGTCAGATCTCATCTCTCTTCACTCTAGACACTCACTTCTGAGGAATGAGATTTAAAAACTATCTGATTAGAATACTCTGGGCCTAGCAAGAACCTAGGTGAGATGAGACCTAGGCGCCCTTAATAGGTGGTTAGTGCAAGCAAGACTGTGACAGCCAATTGATAGACTGAAATGCTGAGATTGACAGCTGAAAGATTAGAGACTTAACTAGAATTGAGTAGCTCTGATATTATTCTTAGTGAGAATCTCACTTATGAGTAAGCTAGTTACAGGAGCTAGCTGAGTGATAGCTCTTTAGAGAGAATGATAACCCCTGAAGCAGGCCTGAGAGGACAGAGGCAGTGATCAGTTATATAGAGTGTTAAAATATGTATATAGCTTAAGATGTAAACTGCAGAGATCTTGTTCTGTAGCTCTCTTTACTGTACTTATTTTCTTCTATTCTTTTCTCTATTTATTTAATATGTCTATCTTTAAGACTATATTCTCTTTTCTTTTGTCATAATATTTTCAAATGATTTCAAACTATCAGAAGGTGTTGAAATACTGTAATTTATAAACAGTTTTTGTATTCTGGGCTGGAATTTTCTGATTTTGTATATTTGAAACTGATAAATGTATAATAGTTGACTCTATAGATATAGGAAAAACTCTGAGAACTAAAGATTCTCAGGTAGATATCATAGTCTCTGACTGTATACATCTATAATTGAAGAATAATAATAATAATAAATAATAAGAACTTCTCAAGAATAAAAATTTTTTCAATTTCAATATCTTTATAAATAATGTCTGATTATTACTGAGCTTCTTATAAGCATCTCTGTGACTTCTCTGATTACTTTTTATCAGCTAGTGAAGCAGAAATATTACTGTTTATAATTATATCTTCATTCTTCTCAGCTCTGTCACTGCACTCAATCTTCAGACTAGTAGTCAATCTCATATCTTTCTCAGATCAGTCTCTGACTTTAAGCAGTATAGTTTCTCTCTTTACTGTAAGTCTTCTTATAAGTAATTTCTTACAGATTCTAGCTAACAGTTCTTATAAAGCTCTCAGTGTTACTAGTGTCTTCTGTGACTCTGTGAGTCTATGATCACTCTCTCTCTGCCTGCACAATCTCTGATCAGATATATATAAATATGTCTAAGTTTCTCATCAATGATTCTTACACTGCAGTGAATT